GAGACTAGAACTCTTTCTACTGGGTTGCAGTTTATCTGCTGATCAAAGTCGTGTGTCTGCTTAGTTATATATCAGGTGTAAAACGTGATGAGGGCGACATGTGGTTAGAGCGAAAACTGTGGTTTACGTAAGCCGACTAGACAAGTTTGCCATTTTGAAATTTAGCGTGACCATTAACATTTCAGAGTAGCAACTGTTGCAGATATCAGTCTTTTCAGGTTACCTACATGCCTCCGACTGCGACAACTTTACTTTTAAAACGATGCATAGAGTAGAGCAACGTTTGAGGCACGACGCCGAGAAATCTTGTGAAGTATTTCCATTTAAGCATTTCAGTTTGAAAGGGTACATCGAAGAAGGAGAAGAAATTCCAATAAGATGGACTTTAGTAGCGAATTTGTATGTGTATGTACAATGTAGACCCGCTTGCGTGCGTTGGCTGTAACTTAGTGTGGCAGTGTTTGTGAAAAGTAGTACTTTAATTTGGATGACCAGAAATACTGCGATTACCACGCAAGGTTTGTTTCGTCTCTGTGAAATTTTAATTTTCTTCGAAATTTTCTTCTACAGATAGGCCTAGCATCACTTGGTACTGATATGCCGAACGGCAAACTAAAGCCAGGGCTTATGATTCCCATTCCAGTTTTTCCTCAGTACAAGTCCAGGATTGTAGAATTCAACCTCTACGAGGTAATGCTGACGTTGTGTTGAATACTTACATTCCGTATCTCTTTACTGATTCATTTGCATACTCAGTTTAACGTTTCTTATTCTTTGTATCCTAGTGCTTCATTATTGGACAAGTAGAACTTAACAAAAGACAAAATAAGAATATATGAAGGTCTGATATCAATCAGTGATTCATGTAGATTAAAGTCCATAAGAGGAATGACCCAGCTTATGATTGCTGTGCTAAAACTGATCTTTCTACTCAGATCCCTTATTATTTGGAGGAAGAAAATAACTGGTCTTTTAACATCGGTGAAATGAAGAAAGCCATAGATAAGGCTAGGCCACACTGTGAACCAAGAGGACTGGTACTGATTAATCCTGGTAATCCTACAGGTAAGACGTATGTTTGTAACCATGGTAAATAGTGCTGTGGTTGGAGATGAACTTGATGTCGAATGAGTGAAGCAGAAGTGTTTTTTCGTTCTCGAGAATAAAAACTCCCAGAGGGAAAATAAGCACACATGGAAATAATGAAAATTATTCAAATGGAAGGCATGGAAAAAATATTTGGCTCGAGGTCATGATATACGGACTGAGCGCAGCGAGGTCTGTGCGTCATGACCGAGAGCCAAATATTTCAGCCTGACAAAAGTTAGTCAATAAGCATTTTATCGCATGACCACTTAGAGTTGAAAATTTTGAAAATTTGGTTCAACCTAAGTAGGACGCGATATACGGGCGCACGCGGGAGAATTATAAAAAATATTCGGCGATTAAAAAATTTTTGCTTTGTTTTTTCGAGTCAGAGCAAAAATATCACAATTCATCGAAAGACGCAATTGTGTTTTTACCCTTTTTTTCCTTCAAGTTTTTGCAAAAAAGCCGTGTGAGTGCGGGCCGAATGGCTTTTTCCGGAGCGACTCACGTCAATCCGTCCGGTCGTA